ATGTTTCTCTCTGTCTCTACCCCTCCCTTCCACTCCCTCTAACAACCAATGGAAAAAATATCCGTGGGTGAGGGTTAATGGCAGCAACAAACGGCCTGGGTGTGTTTGGGCGTAGAGATCTGCGCTTTCCCGCCCTTGATTACCTGGTTCATGATTTCTGCGAATTGCGGGAGCTTACTCAGCTCCACGAGGTTCAGCCAGGTCATGTCGAGGATCCAGCGGAAGGGCTTGGGAGGGCAGGCCTTCAGGTCCAGGGCTGCTCCGCCTGGGGGAGGGGGCAGCGGGACCAGGTCAGCTCCGGCTCCATTTTTAGAACCCCCCTACCCCCCAAGTCATAAAAATGAGATAACCATATTACAGAAAAACATGGGAAAACTGGAAAATAGTCACATTACAGAAAGTGTGGTTATCCTTTTTGGGTGCATTTCCTTCATGTCTCACTGTTTTATTTACTGATTTGTTCCGTCTTATAAAATACAGATGGTGGTAATTCCTTGTCATGTTTCTCTGCAAAGAACTGTTCCCGGGTGGTTGTGGTTGTTTGCCTTTTCACTGTGTTTAACAGTCTGCAATGCACCATTCTGATATCAGTGAAAAGGCTGACCATCCCATGTGTGATTTTAAAAATCATTTGCCTTTTCACTGTGTTTAACAGTCTGCAATGCACCGTTCTGATATCAGTGAAAAGGCTTCTAAGTCATCACCCCTCCAGAAGTTTCATATTCAGTACTATTTGTTACCAGGCCAAAAAGATGGGTAGATGGATAGATTGACATAGTACAGCTGTGGGGTTTTAAGGGAGTAACTAATGATCAAATCATCCATCCATTCATTCATTCATTCATTCATTCAACAAATACTTATTAAGCGTTCCCTGTGTTTCTGGCACATTCCAGGCACCGGGAATAAAGCAGAGAAAATGAGCAAGGCCCTGGACTCACAGCATGTGAACAGCATGGGTCGTATTTTGAAGCCAATCACAAGTCAACGAGCATCCCCATTGTGACCGGCTCCCACCCAGTCACGAGACTACTGTTACAATTTCAAAATCCCTCTGTCGCATATCTTTAGCGATGTTTTATCGTAATAATTCCAGCTCTGTTTTTCATTCAGATTATGCAAAAACGGTGATTCTGCCACTTTCAAATCCCATTATCCTGAAGAGCTCCGGGAATCCCTCCACTTCATAATCAACGCTTGGGCAAAAAAGGGGGGTGGGGAGGGGCATAGGGCTCCGCTCCCCCTCCAGCACCTTCCTGGGATGGGGCATGAGCTGAAGTACCCCTTTCATGCCCGGCCCCTCTGTTCCACCCTCGGGGCAGTGATCCCGAGGCCACCACGCCTTTAGACCCGCAACCGTCCTCACCACCTGCCCTGTGCCACCTGGAGAGGGAGAAAGCCCTGCTCGGCTCTGGTTCTGCCAACACCGAGGTTACCGGGAAAGCAACCACTGGAGTCGGCTGGGGACCTAAGGGACTCTGCTTCTCTGACTCGGGGACAAGTCATCCTTTTCTTCTCCGTTGTTCCCAAAACAATGTGCCCATGGACCTTAAGCCTCAAAGGCACCAGCAGAGGCGTTTAGGCTGCAGCAGAGTTTCGGGCACGTGCACCTCAACTAACCGGACGGTCTCTCCCCCAACACCCACTCTAATACTCGCGAGCGGCAAAGACGGGGACAGAGAACTCAGTCTCTGCCTCCTCTTCTGCCACAAGGCCTAACAATGGAATCTACCAGACGGGGTGCTGTGGAGATTAAATACGTGTTTGTGTGCAGAAAGCTTAGGACAGTCTTGGCCCACAGTAACCGCTAGGCAAGCATTAGCTGTGGGTTTGACATTAACTGTCTGATTTGGAACTCAGGTCCAGTCCAACCCGAAGGGCAAGGGCACACGCCCTAAGGTGTCTTTTGTCCGTGGTTTACAACAAAAGAAAGACGACATCTTTCTACAGCAACTGGGCAGGGAAACAGCATATCGATTACTCTCTGATGCAGGATTGCCCTGCTATCTGCTTCATGTTTCACAGTGTCCGACACTGTCCATTGAAACAGAACGTCAAAGGCACCTTCCAGAGACCGAAGAAAACAAGTGGGAGTGGAGGCAACGGGACGGTCCTTCCGGGGAAATCGAACACTTCTGCTGTGATCAATAAGTCTTCCTTCTCCCCCTGAAGCACTGGGTTCAAATGATTTAAAAAAAAAAAAACCAGTGATCTAAGGACCATATGTGTTAACCTTGAAAAAAACCATTAAAAACAAAGTCATACCATCTTTTAAAAAAATAATTTGGTCAAAATGTAAGCCGGTTCAAAACTAATACAAACTATACAATAAGCCAGCTTTGGGTTGTTTTTTAAAAACACACGAAGCCTCTTTTACTGCTGAGCTGACTATACTTTTGCTAACCAACCTATCAGACACTCCCCGATTCATCTTCCTGAAGCACCGCTCTGTTCGCAGGACTTCCTGCCCAGGAAGCATTCGATGGCTCCCTGTTGCCCACTAGATGCAGCCCAAACTCCTCGAACTGGCGCTGCTGGCCCTGTGCAATCTGCTTCTCCCTGGCTCCCAGCTAATGAAACGGGCACAGATGTGTTCTCACCACCACCCCGATGTGCAGCCTTTTTTTTTTTTTTCTGTGTCAAATCTAATTCTCCTCGCAGATTCCTTCCCCGCTGTGTTGCTGTGTTTCTCAGCCTCCGCTGACTTACATACTTAGTCTCCCAGAATCCCGCCTGTCTCAGGTAAGAGCAGGGTTTGGCTGGGTTTGCTGGGTGGGGAGAGGTGAGGGGGGGAGGGGTGGTTGTGTCATGACAGGGAGGGGCCTCAGATCTGCACACACCCTCTCGTCTCTACCAGTCTCAGTCCCAGGCCGGGATCCTGCCCTGTCCCCTCTGAGCACGTCCTGTGTGACCTGCAGGCGCAGGGGGCTGTCACCCACAGGGACTGGGCCTGTCTCCGGTCAGAGGTCCCAGGCCTCTGGTGTGCACCAGCCCCTCCACATTCCATGTCCACACGCCTGCTGCCAAACCTCATGCTTATCCGTCCGGCCAGTCCCTCACAATGCTGCCGGGCAGCTCCCATGCCCGCGTGGCTCTGGGCAGAGCGCAGGGCATCTTCTGTCTGGATGTTTCCCAAGTGCTCTCCTCTCCCCACCTCCTTCTTCCTCTGACTCTCTGTCCTTCCAGACCCATCGTGGACCCAGGGGCCAGGGTTTCCACTTCCTTCTATGTCAGAGCTGTCTCCTTCCCAGGGGCCACACTAGCAGATGGGACTCAGGAAGCGAAGCCAGCTCAGCAACAAGGAAAAATCCAAAAGTGTACTCCCCATCCCGCTTACACCCGCAGAGGGAGGCTGTCCTCAGCGGGAGGCCGTTGCTCCCACTGCTGCCCCGGTTTCCACTCGTTTCAATGCCCCATCCCCACTGCCCCAGACCCCGAGGCTGCGGCCCCAGGCAAGTGAGAGCCTCGAGGTGACTGGACGAGTCAGTCCAGTACCTGGTAAATTCAGGCGCGTTTTATTTAAATGTTACAGAGACCACCCCGACGTATGGACCCTCCTCTCCAGCGCCCACCCTGTCTCTCCAGGTGGCCCTTATCCTTCACTGGGGCCCACAGCCCCCTGTGTGCGGGGGACCGGGGTCACTCTCTGAGATCACACTGCCAGGCCGGGGCAGAGCCTGCTCATTCCCTGGTTCCAGCCCTGCACACGTCGTACGCACCATGCGGCCTCCCAACGCCCACATACAATTCAGACACCAGCTCCTCGAGGCGTCCCAGGCCTGAGAAAAATATGAACCCCAGGACATATT